CCCCAAAACCCCAAAACCCCATGTTAATAAATTACTTAGAAATAGATGATTGTCAAATCAAAGAATGATTTGATTTTTTTCTAGTTTTTCAGTGATTATAAAAATATTAAGTTATTAGTAATCATCCCATATCATATTCGAGGAGGCTTTTTAATAATATTTCAATAATTAAAATATGATTTGCAATAATGCATCTGAAATGTCAATGCAATTTGACTAGAAAACTTAATAAATTAAAAGAGAAATGCTAAGGCCTTCTTAGGCCTAGGCTTAAATAACCCTCTACCGGCTCTAATTAATTACTTTTCAAGATACCCAAAGAGAGATCAATGAATAAGTCTACCCTCGTTTAAAAGTTCAATATGTCAAAAAAGACTCAAAAAAGACCTAATAATACAAATCATTCACGACTCCTTATGGAATTTCAAAGAATAGCATACTAAAAAAGCCCAATTCAAGTCTATTTAAAAGATCTAACTAAGTTTCGGGGATGCGTCGAAACAACATTAATAACTTGAGTTCAAGTTTAACTTTTCAAACATACACTTAAGGTAGCTCAATGTCCACAAATCCTGACACATTGCAATCCTCGGAGCTGAAGAAAAATGGACTAAACTTAGTCAACAAAGCTACAAAGGATAATCATGATATACATCGCAGTATTGGGACATACCTAGAGACAGATGAAAATGAAAAGGATTCGGTATCAAATTCATCTTCAGATACAGTATCAGTAGATTAGGCTTAATCCTATGACCTTTTCAAGGCAAACGATGACGCTCCCGAATATGTAAATTTGCTGGAATCAAATACTAATTAAAAAGGGAAGCCGGGACTGAGATTGCATTATTCTGAGTTAAAGCAGATCAAAGAAGAAGAGCTAATTTCCAGAGAAAATTCATGCTCCACAACTCATTTAGAGGGTATGATAAAATCAATGTGCAATATCCAGCTCAGCCTACTAAATATTCCTCAGCTAAGTACAACTATATCTAAGGATTCTACCTGTTCTTTAGAAGTAAAGGATCTAAACGGTGTTAAGATAAATCACTTTAGAGGGCACTTCCAACGACGATAAAATACTTCGAAAAGCCTATTACCGTAGTGAGAAGGGTTTTTAAACAAAGTCAAAAGTAATACTCATTGTTGTAGATCTAAAGCTATGATCCTTTAAGTAAAAATTGCTAATTTAATATATTTTTCCCCTTGAACTATTTAATTATCTGAAATTATTTCTTGAATTTAGCAATACGGGGTTTTGGGGTTTTGGGGTTTTGGGG